TTCTCATTCAGTAACCTTTCCTAGGTTACAACAGAAAGAAAGAAAGAAAGAAAGAAAGAATAGAATAGAAAGAAAGAAAGATGGTCGGGGTGCATAAAGGCCGAAATGTTGAGATAGTAACAACAAAGATGGAGATATTAGGCCAATATAAATAATGCAAATATAATTAGGTACTTTGAAAAAAATCAGAAATCAGGAGAAATATTCATCACAGTATTTCAATTAACTCATGATGATCAATATTTACTATTTCCATGCTAATGAAGGTGCCTTGATATTTCTTAAGTTGAGCAGTGAATTAAGATTTTTTTAAATTTATTCTTATATTTACTCGACGATATCTGCTATTGAACCGAAAACCACATTATCACCGTTTTTTTTGGTAATACTTTGCCTATCCCAAAGAATGCGTTATGTTGAAATGTAACGCCATATTCCATGCGTGTCTTTGATAACCCAAATCTAAATTGTTCTGACGCTAACCACTGAAAGTCTCTTGATCACTGGTTAAGTGTAAACGTTACGGACATCTTGGTCTCAGCTGAAGCGGAAATCAAAAAAATGAAACCCAACCACATCGACTACTTCATAGCGGTTTGTGGTAAGCGCTTCACAATGAAACCTCCGGGAATCACATTTATCATTAATAAGAATGAAAAGTGATTTCTCGGTTGAAGTAAAATGCGTATGCGCTACGGGTCAGCTTTCTTTTCTTGCAAAAAAATATATATATATAAACTCGATTCTGAGGCATCCGTTCCTAACATATCGCTTGTAGATTGTCGTTAATTTTTCAAATTTAACATAAAAAATGTAAACTTCAGTACTGATATAATTTCTTTTAGATATTTTAGCACATATAGTCAATGACCAAAGAGTGACGTCACTTCCGCTAAAAGGGATCAGCAAGTCAAATATTAGGACGAACCCGATGGTGTCTCTTATTTTTTTTTTCCTCCTTTCTCAGCGGTTTGGGGTGAACAGTTGAGGTTGTTCCATCTGGTGGAATTTGTTATCAATCACGTTTTACTTTTCACAATTAAATGATGTGCCCAAGGAAGCACGCCAAATATAAAATTAAGAAATTACATGTTGGTAGCAGTTTTAAACACCCAACATGGATATCTGTCTATATCTCTGAGATGAGGTATTATGATTACTTATTATTTACATTATTCGGACTGTAATCCCCATCATCATTGCCATATTCACAACGTTTCGGCCGTTGTACGCTCCGGCCTACTTCAGGTGACTGGAATTTCGAAACGAATTCTTTATTTCGTCCACCGGGGTAAATTGTTCTAGTTTCACTTGCCATGCCTCTTCCAGGTGTCTCAGTTATTTCTCTTTTTAACTCAACTTGAAAACACATGGCCCAGTCGATAAAGACGTTTGTTAGATCTAGTGACTAGACGCAAAGAGTTGTAAGTTCAATACCAGGCCAGAGCAGTTGTGATGCAAAAACTTAGAGAGCTGAGGAAAAACATGAATATGTTAAGAAACGTTTTGCAATAATTTGAAATGTCTGCTCTCTTTCTAGTATGCCAATTTGTCGTAACGAATGAAGTGAAAATATATTTTGAGATTGGAATGTCTGCGAATAGGCCTAATATTTAAACCAGTTTCCAGTCGGATAAGTTCCTGAAGAAACAATAACGGACCATTGAAAATCTAATGAACCATAAACAAAAACATGGTGTATCATTAAGCGATCAAGACTCTGGAGAATTATTAGGAGATCAAGAGTCTGGAGAATTATTAAACGATCAGGATCCAGGGGAATCATTAAGAAATCAAGAGCCTGGGGAATCATTAAGCGATCAAGAGCCTGGGGAATCATTAAGAGATCAAGAGTCTGGGAAATCTGTAAGCGATCAACAGAATGGGGAATCATTAAGGGATCAAGAGTCTGAGGAATCATTAAAGGATCAAGAGGCTGGGTAATCTATAAGAGATCAAGAGCCTGAGGAATAATTAAGTGATCAGGGGCCTGGGGTCTCATTAAGCGATCAAGAGCCTGAGGTATCATTAAGCGATCAAGAGTCTTGGGAATCATAAAGTTATCAAGAGCCTGGGGAATCATTGAGCGATCAAGAGTCTGGGGAATCATTAAGCGATCAAGAGTCTGAGGAAACATTAAGCGATCAAGAGCCTAGGGAATCATTAAGAGATCAAGAGTCTGGGGAATCATTAAGGGATCAAGAGCGTTGGGATTCATTAAGCGATCAGGGGCCTGGGGTCTCATTAAGCGATCAAGAGCCTGAGGAATCATTAAGCAATAAAGAGTCTGGGGAATCATAAAGTGATCAAGAGCCTAGGGAATCATTAAGCGATCAAGAACCTGGGGAATCATTAAGCGATCAGGGCCCTGGGGTCTCATTAAGCGATCAAGAGCCTGTGGAATCATTAAGTGATCAAGAGCTTGGTGAATCATAAAGTGATCAGGAGTCAGAGGAATCATTAAGCGATCAAGAGCCTGGGGAATCATAAAGTGATCAAGAGCCTGTAGAATCATAAAGCGATCAAGTGCCTGGGGAATCATAAACTGATCAAGAGACTGGGGAATCATTAAGGAATCAAGAGCCTGGTGAATCATTAAGTGATCAGGGGCCTGGGTAATCATTAAGCGATCAACAGCCTGAGGAATCATTAAGCGATCAAGTGCTTGTTGAATCATAAAGTGATCAAGAGTCTGGGGAATCATTAAGCGATCAAGAGCCTGGGTAATGATAAAGTGATCAAGAGTCTGGGGAATCATTAAGAGATCAAGAGCCTGGGGAATCATTAAGAGATCAAGATCCTGGGGAATCATTAGGAGATCAAGAGTCTGGTTTATCATTAAGTGATCAAGAGCCTGGGAAATCGTTAAGCGATCAAGAGCCTAGCGAATCATTATGTGATCAATAGCCTGTGGAATCATTAGGAGATCAAGAGCCTGGGGAATCATTAAGAGATCAAGACCTTGGTGAGTCATTAAGCAATCAAGATCTTGGGTAATCTGTAAGCGATTAAGAGCCTGGGGAATCATTAAGCGATCAAGAGTCTGCGGAATTATTAAGCGATCAAGTGCTTGGGGAATCTTTAATCGATCAAGAGCCTGGAGAATCATTATGACATCAGATGGCTGTCGAATCATTAATCATTCAAATGTCTGATTTTAACAATAAGAATAGACTTATAAAATAAAAATATATATATATACCAACCAAATTTGTACCATAAATCTATGAAAATAATATTTTTCACATTAAGTTATTATTCTTGAGTGGGTGAGTTAACATGTTTTTTACGCTTTTTACGCTTTTCTTTTAATTTTCATGAAAAACATTTATAAAATATCATACACCGCAGATCAATTTGGCTTGAATTCATGCCCACCATCTTGGATTGATGTAAAACCATATAAATATGTATATATTTCCGAGATTTTTAATTGGCTTAGTCAAATATAATTCGTGGTTCGATCGACTGAGAGAATGTTTAACAAAATATTGTTTAACCTATGAGCCAAGAAATTTAGAAGTTACTTGATTTGAAGTTTTGAATATTGAATATTCAATACATTAGAATTTCCTCCGTATAATTATATTTTTGCAAAACGTCCCCACATACACACTAATATACATTCTAGTCGAAAAATGCAATATGCATTCAGTATATAGAATTTGCTTAGAATTGAACCATGATCCTTCGTATCAAAAGAGAATTCACAAACGGTGGACAAACGAAAATTCACTACTGATGAAAGCTGAATTGTTATCAATCTACGATGAGATGACGAAAGTCTTTCAAGTGCAATGAGTCGACATATGAAGATAGAGAGAACTGTTGTTGTTGTTGCTGCTGTTGTTATTGCTGTTTTTTGTTGTTGTTTTTTCTTTTTGAACTCATTAGAACAATACGATATTTTTTATATGAGAATTCTGACACGTAGAATGTTTGAGTGCTAACCAAACTGAAATTAGAACACACATTCTTTAAAAAAAATTTTTTAACATTTATGGCATACGACCATCAATGCAGACCCACTAAAAACCGGAAATGAATCTCCTTTGCTTAAAGCAAAGAGCAAGATTTAAAACGGCTTTAGCATTTCAAGAAAACGATTAGTTTAGCCTACAGGCGATTAGTTCAGCCTTTAGGCGATTATTTATTCCTTCAAACGTTAATGAATGATGACTTCAACATTTTTTCGCCCAAAACCTGCAAGATTTGAGCACTTTTCCAGTAAATGTCGATAGCTAAACTCGTTTCTGCCTTGGACAAAGCAAATTCCAACTTTTTAATCTGCTTAGTAAATTTTTTTTTTAGTTTTTAATCTACTCAGTGAATAAAACAATGGGTGACGATCCTTGCTACCTACCGATCTTAGATTTCATGTGGTACAAAAGCGTAATTTGGCGGGAATCGAGTGAAGATGGGACTCATTACACTCGTGAACTGATCTCCAAAACGAAATTGCTGATTATCGCTCTACAACAGGCGCACCCTATGCGTGGCAGTTATCTAAATAAAAAAGTGATCTTAGAACAAATTCTGACCAATCATAGAATATACCTGTATTTGATGACGCACAATTTATTGTTGGCTTTCCCACGGTCAGAAAAGTGTAAAATGTCAGGCTGATATTTACCAAACTTATTTTGGTATGGCACGAAGTCAAATAAATGATAAATGGATGTATCAGTTGCTTTTTATCAGTTTCTCAACAGGGGAGGGCCTGTATACTTTGAAACCCAGGATCTGAAATTTTTACTTTTACTTAGGTTTGAACACCAAACTCTAGACGCTATTAGGAATATAAGTTCTGTCTAGAAATTTTCTAACTTTTAATGTTAAAAATAGCCAACCTAGGGCTTTAGTTCTCAACAAGATACTTACTGTAGGACCACACACAATCTCAAAGTCCATTCCACTTTGGAAAAACAGCCGGCAAATTCATTTTTCTGTGAGATTGCTATAAAATGCCTAAATATGTCGAGAAAAAGGGCATGACCTCTTCAACCGTATTTGATGATATAGATAGATAGATAGATAGAATTCGGACCGGACTTGCAAACTTATAGATAGACAGGGACTGACGTGATTAAAACGTGCATTGAAACGTGCATTGAAATGCAATATGGCAAAAAATCATCGGACAAATGCAGCCAAAGTGACTGCTGAGTTGAATAACCATCTGAATAGTTCAGTTTCTAGTAAAACTGTTCATCGTGAGCTCCAAAAGGCTGCATATCATGGAAGAGCCGCTGTGAGGTAGCCTCTTCTCTCCACTCGTAATATTCAAAAGAGATTGAAGTGGTGCAAAGATCACAATGCCTGGTCTGCGGACCAATGGAAGCAAGTCATATTCTCAAACAAGTCCAGTTTTTCTCTTTTCCCAACTTCAGGGCGAGTTTATGTGTAGAGTCAGCCCAAAGAAGCTTACAACCCTGACTGCCTTCTTCCAACAGTGAAGCATGGAGGTGGATCAGTGATAGTTTGTGCCGCCATATCATGGAAATGTCTCAGTCCAATAGTTGCCCTGCATGGTAGAATCAACAGCAAAGATTACCTGAACATTTTGGGAGATCATGTTCATCCAATGGCCAAGACTTTATTCCCTGATGTTGACTGCATCTTCCAAGACGATAATGCTCCAATACATACCACTCGAGTGGTTAAGAATTTAGCGATCGTCAGTTGTCTGACGATCGCTAAAGCGTGAAACCCAGGGTCACAAACTCACATCTATATCCAAATATATATATATATATATATATATATATATATATATATATATATATATATATATATATATAACCTTCCATTTCTCCAAAGTGTCTTAGAATATGTTATCTTATATACGAATTAAACGTATCCGCTAGGAGTGTATTTGCCCAGATAGAAAAATACTGTTCCACTGATGAAAGCATTCCTCGAAGCAGCATTCTTTTGGATTGTCCCAACATCTTGAAGTAATCAAATAAGGCAATCTTCTTCCTTGACAAGGTACTTGATCCATATACTGTGACTAGCAAAATAAATAAACGACTTAATTAAAAAAAAACAACTTGATTATTCTTTAAGACAAAGCTGCAAGTATTCGACAATATATTGTCAAGCATATTTACCCGGCCTCTCCAACTGGATGTGGCAAAAGATACTTTTAACGTGGAGAGCGCCATAGGCATACGTATACATATGGTCCAAGGACAAACATTTTTGTTTTGCCCCCCCCCGCTCCCACAACGACAACTTTCACGCTGGCTTCGGTATTACACTCTCTTAATGCAATGAGAACAGTGTGGCCAGTCCAGTTTCAATTACGCGCAAATACACTTGGGAAAGGTATGAATTCATCTCTTCTCTCCCATATATGGGTTGAATAGCAAGACAGACTGAGTTCTTTAGCCATAGTTGGCAACCAGTCTACCGCAAAAAGAAATGGTAACCTACTGGGGTAAAAATCCGCCTCGTCAGTCACGTATCGAAAGATGCATGATCGTCCAAGCGTGTATCACTTGTGGTACTTAACTGACTGAATGCAAAGATCCAAAGAGTTGTGACCTGAGTACAATACCAGGCCACAAAGGGAAATAACTGAGACATCCGGAAGAGGCATGTCACGTGGAACTAGAACAATCTACCCCGGTGGACGAAATAAAGGGTTCGGATCCAAATTCCAATCAAAATTCAAATCACCGGCCGAAACGTTGTGAATATGGCAATGGAGATGAGATTAACAGTCCGAATAATGTAAATGAACATAATACCTCATCTCAGAGATATAGACAGATAATACAAGTGAACATAGTAGGAAGGGAGATAAAGATCTGATGCAAAAAGTTATGAGTCACTTGATATCCCTTCAAGATTAACAGCATTTCAGATTAAGATACACCTACAAATTTCTAATCCGAAATGATCAAACACAGTTCATCGGAATTATATAGAAGAAACATATGCTGATGTTCAGAGCATGTTGGATATGAAAAAAACTGGTAGAATTCCGAAGACAAGAAGCTAGTGGGGTTATTGGTGTTCAGCCCCAAATTAACAGCTCGTCAATTAATGGATGAAACCACAGTTATTGCTCAAGTGTCAATTCATATAGTAAGACGAATACTATGTAAAAGTAATCTAAATGAACGCATTGCAGCAAACAAATTCACCGTTAAACAAAAGAAAAAAAACAACGATTCAAACGAAATCACTCGACAAAAGAATATCTACTATGGGATAATGGAAAATATGCCAAAGTGATTTAGAATGAAAAAGCCAAATAAAAGTGAATTCTAACACAAGAGAAGCTGTCCGTAGATCAAATGATACAAGAAACATTCCTAAATAAACAAGAAAATCCAGTAAGATTCAGAGGCGTTTGTTTTAGAACCAAATCAAAATCAATGATAGAAGAAAGTTGATAAAAATCGATGTAATACTTGATTGGAAAAATATATTACTTTACTAACGTACCACCTGTTACCAGATATGTGCAAAAACTTTTGCGTTCAGGTGTGTATCTCTCTTTATACTTGGTCCATGTGAATGCGACAACATACATTACAGGCTGGGAGGGGGCACCTCGAGGCGGTGTAATGGTTAGCAAGCTTGTCTCACTAAGAACAATTACAACTGAGTAGTGAGTTCGATCCTCACCAGGTGCCCCATACTTTCGGCCTTGTGCCACATCTAAGCTACGCTTGGAAAATCACTACATTACAGGCTTGGGTGATCACATATACGACTCCTGATAGTACATTGTCGAATATTTAGAACGTCTTAGTAAATCTATTCCAAGACAACTTCGTATGTAAGTGGTATGCGTTTTGCTTTTGAACAGGTTGAAATTCGCCGTTTTTTAACATGCCTGTTGTTTTTTTGTTGTTTTTTTTTTACATATTTTTCATTTCCTTTTTTCCCTCTCCCGAGTAGTATATTATAATTATTATCATAATTTATTACTATTATAATTATTATCATAATTTATTGCTATTATAATTATTATCATAATTTATTACTATTTGTCCATGTTCAAATGTGCAATTTACATTAGTTATTATGTCGCATTTATTGCTTTATTCTCTATTAATTAAGGAAATATTTATCCACTTTTGGTGTTGAATGAATCTACAGAAGAGGGAAGGAGAGAGAGAGAAAGGGGGGAGAGAGGGAGAGAGAGAGGGAGAGAGGGAGAGAGAGGGGGAGAGAGGGAGAGAGAGGGAGAGAGAGAGAAATGTTACGTCCCTCTTCTCTTTCCCTGAGAGGGAGAGGGAGAGAATCACTTGGGAAGAAGATGTTATGTAGGTAGGTAAGTAGTGGCGCCCATATCCTTTTTCTGGATGGAATAAATTTCTGTATTGCTGACTTGTGTGTTGGGGGAGTAATCAGTTATGTACCATACGTGATACACGCTTAGGCAATCATGTATCGAAAGATACATTACTGATATTGCCATTTCTTTCTGCGGTAGACCAGTTGCCATCCAAGGTTACAGAACCCGGTCTGTTCTGCTATTTACCCATAGCTGGGGGAAGAAGAAGACGAGCTATACCTTTCCCAAGGATATTAGCACGTAAATGAATGTAATGGATTCGACTGGAATTCGAACTCGGCTCTCCGATTCCTCAATCCTTTACTCCGCCGTGAAAATCACTCTTCTCTTTCCCTCCTGTCACTCAGTCTCTCTCTCTCTTTCCCCCTAGTCTCTCTCTCGCTCAGTCTCTCACTCTCTGACTCACAAAAGATTCACTTACTCAAAAGATTCGACCTTTTTTGATGAACCTCACTTGGGAAGAGGATGGTAGGTAAGTAGATAGGTAACTAGTGTTATTCCTATTATTCTCCTGTCTTCTAGTAGAATTCTCGCCTTAAGGATTAAAAAAATTAATCAAGTTGATTTTTGGCCAGGTGACTCATTTTCCACCAATGCGTATCGAATATTACAAAGTGATAATTCCACCTGTTCGGCTGTGTAATTATTGATCCACCCTTCTATATTCAAATTGCCTTCTTTTTTTTTCCTTTTCGATCCTTTTTTATTATATGAGGCGTGGCAAATGTTTATTTAATTGGAGAGCTTAATTTTGTATCTATTTATCTTCAAACTTTACGGTAGGGCGTTAAATTTTTAATGAAGAGCAAATTGAATCGAAGAGCTATTATGGTTTTCCGTTTAAAGAGACCCGTCGCCGCCACCGCCGCGCTGTGATAAAAAGCATCGCTTCAAGTTTCTCAAAGCAGCGCCATTTCGCAAGAGGCAGATAACGTTGAAGCATTAGACCCATTAATGACGAATTAGAATCAAATGAATGCCACCGCGTGACCTACATGGGTCAAAGTTGAAACCGGTTTATCGACGCACGCTTAGCAAGGTCGGTTCTGGTATCATCTACACGTGTGCAGTCATGATGATGGTTTAGGATGGGCCTGTGGGCCGCTGGGGTGGGTGATGCAGAAAGAGATATTACTATTCCTTTCGTATATCTTTTCGCCTCCTTACCTACGCCATTTTGCGTTTCTAATATGACTTCCTCTTTGGATTTTGAAATTTTCAAATCCAGGCAAAAATAATTTCGAAACGATGAAACCATAGATCAAATATCAAATCAGAAGAAAAACATTTAACAGACGATTTTATTGCGATTATTTGATTGATTCTTGTTTTAATCAATCATAATGACCAAAGCAGGAACAGTGAGAGAATTAAGAATGAAGACAATATTCATAACAAATGCCGTAGATTAAATTTCACGAATCGATTCTGTGGCCATCTGAATATTTTTTAATCATTCGACGCCAAGCAAGGCGGGAATGCCACTAGTATGCAGGAAGATTGTAGGGAGTGAAAGTGAAAGAGAAGACTGCGAATAGAGAGGATTGAGGAAAGGACAAAAAATGAACGGGATTCAAGAAAATAGAAGATGGCGATTGATGTTGCATTTAAATTTTTGAAGATTGTAGTAATCAGGGAAGCAAGTAAACGGAAGTTCCACAGGTGGGAAGTGCGAGAAAAGGAACTATTGGAGTAGAAGTGGAGGTTGCATTTAGCTATTTCAACAGTAAAAAGGTGGGACCTTGATGCCTGTCTAGTAGCACGCTTAAATTCATGTAGCCGGGGCACCAGGGGAAAAAAAGTTTTTCAGGGCAGTTGCCATGAAAATATTTGTAGAAAAGACAGAGGGAAACCACGTCACGTCAGTGACAAAGTGACTGAAGTCGAGATGATTACATTACAGATCCTTCTTTGGATTTTGTCAAGAATCCCAAGTTGTACAGCAACAGCACCAGACCAGATATGGCAACATTATTTAATGGACGGGAAAATGGTAGATTAAATATATCAAACGATTTCGTTTTCTCTCACTCTCTTTTATTTCGGAATGTTTAGATTTTTTAAAAATTAGAAAAAATTCAATTGCAATAAACAATTATATAAATGCACACACACAAATATATTTATATATATATATGGATAAAAAGATAGTTGGAAAATAGCTCTAAGTCCTTGACGACGCGTTTCGTCATTCGACTTTTTCAAGTTAATTGATGATAAACAAAATCGAAAAATTGTGTAGTTACTTCAAATTTCAAAATTTTAAATATATACATATGATAAGTTAAAGGACAAATAGGAAACGTTTAACAATCTAACATGTTCCACTTTTATTAAAGCTTCATCAGATAATGAGATATGGGGAATAAGAAGAAAGAAATTCTGATATTTTTTTTATTTTTTTGTTGTTTGATTTTCATTGTTTAATCAGGCTTTACGTGCATTCGACTTGTTAAACAAACGTTAGTATAATTTGTGGCTTTCTGAATTCAAGGAGAAACAATGCGTTCATTCGAAGTTCCAAGATGTGAACGGATTCCAAGCCTAACTGAAAAACCATAAATATTGCTTTACATATCTAAGTGTATGATAATACTAATTTGCCTATGTGGGATTTAGATGATGTATATTCGTAAATGTGTATGCGCGCGTGTGTGTGTGTGTGTGTGTGTGTGTCTAGTACACATTATACTTGTTAGTTTTTTCGCGTGTTGGTTTGGCACACTGAGAAAACTTAGCAAAGAAGATGAACTCGCGTACTTCTTTCTATTGACTGACCCGGTGGGATTTAGACCGCTCGAACACACACATATATTTAATATAATATATATATATATATATATATATATATATATATATATATATATATATATATATATATATATTAAATATGTATATATATATGTATACATATATATATTAAATATATGTGTGTGTTCGAGCGGTCTAAATCCCACCGGGTCAGTCAATAGAAAGAAGTACGCGAGTTCATTTTCTATTATTACTATATATATATATATATATATATATATATATATATAGTAATAATCTTATAAATATAAGAAATTATACTCGTCCGGAAAACCTTGGGCACTTTGATATGTAAATAAACAGACCAATACCCAAGGAAAAAAAAGGTACCAAAAAAGAAAGAACAGAGAACATGTACGTCAGCCGAAGACAATCGTCTAGCCTCCAAGTTCAGAGTCCAAAGATAAAAAAACGATACGAGTCAGTAAAATAACAAAGTAAAGTGCTCAATCAATCTGGCTCTTTAGGTTTAATTACACACACACACACACACACACATATATATATATATATATATATATATATAGAGAGAGAGAGAGAGAGATAGATAGATAGATAGATAGATAGATAGATAGATAGATAGATAGATAGTATGACAAAGTGGAAAAAAGTTTTGGTGACGTGTTTCATCCGTTACAATTTCATCGGACTTGGTTTTGTTGATGTTGCCAAGTCTACACATGCGCATGAAACGAGAGACGCTGATAGTTTCGAAATTTTTTGAAAGAATATCTAGCCAATTTCAATTTTTTTTGAAAGAATATCTATCTAAATTCAACTAGATTCTCTTTCTTTTTCTCTCCATCACCTTTGTCCTTGACTATCCCACATTGTGACAATAAAATCGAACAAGAATGGTGATATATTGTAAGAGCCTGGGCGCAAATTTTGTGTAGACTTGGCAACATCAACAAAACCAAGTCCTCCAATGAAATCCTAACGGATGAAACGCGTCACAAAAACTTCTTTTTTTTTTTCAATTTGTCAGACTATTTTACTAAATACTGTTTGTTGGTGTATAAAGTTATAAAAAAAATATAAACCTTAAAAAAATAACGTTATATCGTTATATATATATATATATATATATATATATATATATATATATATATATATATATATATGTATATATAAGCAAGTGTAAATGGATATAAATCTGACAGAATGAAAATTTTGAAAAAACAAACAAAAATCTTAAATGTAGTTAAAATGAAAGAATGTTTCTTTCATTTTAACTACATTTAAGGATTTTTGTTTGTTTTTTTCAAAATTTCTTATATATATATATATATATATATATATATATATATATATACAGACAGACAGACACATAGTGGTTTTCGACTCACAAAGTGAGTATGACCATCACTGATATGTCCAGTTCATGAGTTAAAATCCCTCCAACAACACTACATTCATTGGCTGTGTGACCGACAGTGGCTCATGAAGCCAGCCAATGATCTGATCTGCATTTCTTGTTACATATATGGCATATCAAATCATCTCCGGGTCTTTGACTTTGATCATCATCATTTGCAATGTGTCTTTTCATGTGCCTTGTCAGACCCCGACCTGGACTTACACACCCTAGTGCAGGTCGGGCATTCAAACTATGCCATTACGAAATCGTCATATGCACTAGACTGTTGCTGTTGGTGTGATTACTGGTGACTAAGCAGACCTACCCTGGATAGACATATCCTATTGCATTGGTCACATGGCCAGGTTGGCACCTCATGGCAATTCAGGGATCCCTTCCAAACCCCTCTCTTCAGTTCTGCATATTTTTGTGATGCCTCATGGAAGATCTTGACACCATCAGCAATACTGGGTCTCCAAGAAACCTGATCTTCAGCTAGAATCTCCCAGTTATCCAGACCAACATTGCACTTGTATAATGACTCTTTAAGGCAATCTTTTAACGAACTTTTGACTTGTGCTTCGATCTTTTTCCCATTTCTAGTTCTCCATACATACATGCATAGATATAGATATAAATGTGAATATAAACTAAATAACGAGATGTTATTAAGTGTATATGCATGCGATATCGTGCATGCGATATCGTGCATGCGCAAACAAATAAATGATGCAAACAAAACAGTGCTCAATGTGGTTAAACAGAGCTATGAAGTATATATTAATACATACACATATACCTACATTTGTAGAGTAAGTTAGTTTCATGGTTAACCAAGTCATCAGTCACATATGACGACTTGGGAAACCATGAAAATTTAACTTGCACTACAAACATAGGTATATATATATATACTTAGTCCTACTTACTATCTGTGTTTATCATGCTTGAACCGGCTTCTAATGCTCTAGTATGGAGCGGCTTGGTGATAGTAGTCGTGGCTCCAGGGGGCACAGTCCTACGGTTAAAGAGAACGCAGTATGGTTCCGCCATGGAATATGTGAGCGAGCGGCGCTATGTTGAGTCTGATTTGAATCTCTTCGTCACCGAGGCCCATTTGGAACAGTTGGTATGATGTCAGCTTAACAACCTAACTGTCAGGGTTTCAAATCTCGGTAGTGGATGCGCACTGCTGATGAGTCCCAAATATAGGACGAAACGGCCGTCCAGTGCTTTCTGCATTCTGTAGAGGTTTCTATCAGACTCGATGAATTAATTAAATATGATTATCAAATCCTCCTACTTACTATATATATATATATATATATATATATATTAAAGAAAAAAAGACCGCTTTAAGGTTCCATTATAATTTATTTCACCAGAGCCCTTTTAAAGGACTCTGGATCATCAGATAGCACTTCCAAAAAATGAAATGAAAATTCATACTTTTGATGGGTAGTGTAAGTTTTTGTAATTTAACAGAGGGGGTAATGAGGAGTGGTTTGAGAGACATGGTCGAGTTTAGAGAGGGTTTATTTAATATTTCTTTCAATCATACTTAGTATTGGAAGAGGAGGGACCAGACTTTGACCTATTTAATCTCCTCCCCAAATACTAAGTATGATTGAAAGAAATATTAAATAAACCCTCTCTAAACTCGCAAAAAAAGACGATAAAATTTACTATACTAATTCATGCCGCCCTGCTGACGCAAGAAAAACAAAATTTTAACCAAAATTTTGAACGTTGTAAAAAGAATAAAATTTAATAATAAAAATATACTCTTAATGATAACACAAAGATTTTGACGATAAATCTTTGCTTTTATTAAGTTTGTGGCATTTTTTCATCGTGTAAGTTCATTTTTTTTAATCGAATCTGTGGAGGTAACTATTTATATATCTGAGGCTTCGTCGGCTAAAATCATTTTTTCTTTATTTAATTTCAATTGTTCTTATTTTCCTGAACTAAGAAGCAGTAAAATATTTTCGTTTTTATGACATATTATTTCAACGCTTATCTAAATATTATATTTGACTCCACTATTATTATTATTATTATTATTATTATTATTATTATTATTATATTAGTACGAATCAAATGTATATTCATTTTTACAGACCTTTACACAAAAGTTTAATTTCATGTGTACTTCCAATGACTATCTATGACTCAACTCTATTATTAGTAGTATTATTTTCTTTTTAAATGCTACAATGGTGGCTATATGTCTTGATATTCTGGCAGTTTTGAGACATTATTTTAAACAGGAAATCAAAACAGCTGGAGTTGTTCGTAAAATTCTGGAATTGAATAGGGATTAAACACCATGCAGGCGAAAACCGATTTATCGTTTTGAAACTGTTTCCGTGTTAGTTGTTGATTGCTTGCTTGCTTTGTTTAGCGGCATATCAACACCTAAATGGGTTATTTTATCCTAAAAATCTAAATATTTTGTACGCATTTTTTTTTTTAATTTTGAGATTATAATGATACAAGTTTTACTATGTAACCTATAGCTGGGAGATGAAGAGATAGATTCATATCTTTCCTAATATTCACGTTCTAATATAACGCGCCCAGCGGGAATTGGAACTCAGCTCTCCGATTAGGAAATTCCGAGTCATTTTCCATTACACCACCTGCACATTCAAGCTTACAGCACCAGGTATTCCCAAGTGGTTACCCATCTAGGTGCTGACCAAGCTCGACGTTGCTTAACTCAGGTGATCAGTACGGGAATCGGTGTTCCAACGTGATGTGACCATAACCTGTGGGTGGGATGATGGTTCGTTGTAAATTCGCATATTAATGGGTGATAATCTGCTGTCGATTTCTATGCTTTCAAATGCAATGTGCAAGTGAAAACGTACCACCAGCGATCGTGAAGCGTCAGAAGAGAGAAAATAATCGAAAGACATAGAATCACATTAGCTTCAGAGAAAAAACCTAGAAAAGCTCTTGATTGGAATTAGAACAGATTTTTCATCTAGCTTAATTTCTATAAAATCTGTGAGTATTTTAGTTTTATTCCGACAGTTGAATTCATTGCACTGTTGATTGTCTTACCAGAACCATTCGAGCGATCATTTCTATAAATTTCTTCAAATGTAAAGTCCCTAAAGAAAACATGTGAGATATCCAAAGGCGTGGTACATAGAATTAGAACACTTAATCCCCGTCGGCTAAATAAAGGGTTCGATTCGAAATTCTAATAAAGATCACCTGAAGAAGGTTCGAGCGTACAACAGTCGAAACGTCGTAAATGTGACAGTAAAGATGGGGATAACAGCCCGAACATTGTAAATAGTATAAATAGTTACGATACCTCATCTCATATATATATATATTTGTATATTTAGGCAGGAATCCTTCGTTTATGCATGTTTCATTAAAAATGACAGACAAGGTATTACGGTTAAGCTTTCTATTTAATTTTTCTTGTTTTCGAACAAGAGCTTTCTTTTACGGACAAAGAGTGTGTAAAAACTGTCCAAATGTTTTATATTTCCGAGCGCTTTCGGCTATACCTTTAGCCATTATCAAGGATGATTCGATTTTTCAGTTTAATTGAGTGTGTGCATTATGTGTAGGTTTTAGTGTGTTGTAGAGATTTTTTTTTAATTTCCGAATACGGTTAGCACATTGTGGCCTTGTTCGTAGTTAATATTGTTAAGAGTTGGCTTTTTCTTTTTTTTTTTTTTGATTATTAAAGCTTCCATTATTTTTAATCTTTTTTTTACAGGTGGATGAAGTTTTCTAAATACATATTCCATATAAGTATTATGAATATTTTATTTAGTACTAATAACAATTATTGCTCTAGTTATCTATTGAGTAATACTGTTACCAAATTTATGCGCAACTTGTCACATGTTACATTACATAACTTTACTTATATATATATACATATATATATATATATATATATAGTATGTAAATTTGTGTGTATGAGAGAAAGAAGAGAGAGAGAAAATCTCTGAATGCTATGGAGCCAAAAGGGAGAATGTTTTCTCTCACACCCAGAAGAGAGTAGAATGTGCCGGGTAGGCAGTCAGGCTTGTTTGTGACATGTTTGTTTTATGATCTTCGACAGGCGCAACAATTACCCCAACCCACGACTTCTACCCCGACAAATCTACAAGGATGGAGGAAATTGGTTAATGATGTAATACTGTCTTGTTTTTTTGCACGCTTTCGTGTTGCCTATTAACACAACCTGTCACTACTACTACTACTACTACTACTACCACTGTTACTACTAATACTCCTTGAAAATCACGTTTATTCTATCATCACAACTACTATCATCATTAAGGCCTTTGTTATTGTCTTTTATAGTAGCAGCAACAATCATTTTTCTTCTATATGCCGTGTCCCTCCTGGACGTTGGTGAACATGGCTCTCTACAATTTCCTGTACTTTGTAGCTCTTAATAAATGTGTTTTTGTTGTCTCTCCTAAAGCTTGTGCCGCCATCCATTTACTTAAGTTCTCTCAGCAGATTGTGTGTTGAAGATAACTAGCCGGACGAACAAAATTCAGTTCCGTGTTCGCCGGCACTAAAAAAATATCCAACTGTTCAATGAGGAACACCGCTGGAGAATTGACCAGACAGACATCTATTGCAACATCACTCAGCGCGGGGTTCTGATTCTGAATTCTCAATGAGGAACTCCCAGAATCATCTATCAATTCAATGAGGAACTCCGCTGGAGAATTGACCAGACAGACATCTATTGCAACATCACTCAGCGCGAGGTTCGCTGATTCTACCAGAATCATCTATCAGTTCAATGAGGAACTCCGCTGGAGAATTGACCAGACAGACATCTATGCACCATCACTCAGCGCGGGGTTCGCTGATTCTACCAGAATCATCTATCAGTTCAATGAGGAACTCCGCTGGAGAATTGACCAGACAGACATCTATTGCACCATCACTCAGCGCGGGGTTCGCTGATTCTACCAGAATCACCTATCAGTTCAATGAGGAACACCGCTGGAGGACTGGCCAGACGAACACCCTCGCAAAATCGCAACAAGAGTCATCTTCCAGTTCAATGAGGAACTGCTAGAGGAATGGCCAGACGGACATGCAATGCACCATTGTTCAGTGCTGTGTTCACTGGTACGGTCATGCCCTGTTACGATCTGATGATTACCCTAGCACAGTCATCTACCAGTTCGACACTGCCGACGACCTCGCGGAAGGTTAAGCAGCCCCTTGAAGGACATCGTCCGACAGGACCTCCTGCAGATTAATCTATTGCTGGATGATATTCAGATGCACTGCCAAGACTGTGAGTGCTGGAAGGACAGGGTGGTTGGGTAGTTGGGCTCACTGACTATATAGCATGAGATTTAGCAGCAGCAGCAGAAGACACAACTCTGTCTTAGGCTTTCTGTTTTTACACATTTACTACATTCATTTTCTATCCGCATGCAGGCAGCTTGCTCCCAGTATAACTTCTAAATTATCCTTTCCAAGTATATCAAGCTTGCCTAACTCTTCCAACGGTTCTTTGTAACATACTTACTACACTTGGTTGAGTTGTACGTCTCCAGTATGTAGCTCACGCCTTGGGTTGATTCTATTGCCGACAACTATACCTTCTGTCTGCTTACAATTGATAATTAGTCCTTTCTTCTAGCTTTCCTTTATTATCTTCTCTATAGATTTTCAGTTTACTTTTTTAAATAGTCTCGTCATATGGATGACATGTATGGCACCGAACCGATTCAGAAATGTCTAAACTGACAGCTGTATACGACCACTTTTTCGGATCAATGATTAAAATGGCTTCGAGTGTATGAATCCTGCAGGTTTTAGTAAGGACCATCCTTCTATGAACCTTGCGGACTGTCGATACATAATCACAAAGAACTCTATCAAATAACTGACACCACATCACTTGAAGTATATGAAAAACAGCAACACTTAAAATAGATAACACATGCAAATCGACGAAAAAATAATGACATACTCAAGATGTTCCACACCACTTCAAACAAAAGGTTAAGAAGGAAATTGTTTTACGAAAAATTTTTTAAATTTTCTCCCAACAATGGTTCTGTTTGATCGATCAATGAATGGCGAATTTTTCCTTATAAGAAAACGTCTAACGTTACCATTACAATCTTGTCTGTTTTTTTTTTACAATTTCTATTTTGAGTCTGCTATTAAGAGAATGTCATCTTTTTATTTTATGTTGTTAAACTTGTGCTTTGTCGATGTATAAATTTGGATAGATCTCTCATTTTCTTATTTTGCTACATAGATTCCTGCGAGAAAACGCTCCTTTCATTTACAGCTTTTTGTTTACTTGTTCAACTCATTTATCTTCTATCCACTTACAGATGATTTCTTCCTCATAATTGTTGCGAAATAATATGTTTTTTCCTAGCAGTTCAAATAAATATTTATCTCACACTTTATCAAATAATTGTATGTAATCTATAAACGATATACCGTTCTGTTATATACGTATATCTTGTGTTTGTCGTTAGTGACCATATCTACAATCTTTATTTTCCTTCTATAAACTCTCTATATAAAGGTGTCCATCCGGGCTCTATCATTAGATGTATGGTGTTAATTTGCATCAACAACTTTCCTGACGTCATCAATTCTCAACACGGTATCAGTGCTTATGGCACAATCTTTTACTCCTGACTTAATGGTAAGTCTGATCCGTTTGATATGATCAAATTGGCAGCTGATCTAAAAAATAACCTACAATCTGTTGTTAAATGGGACAGGGAATGGCTTGTTAATTTTAATGCATCCAAAACGAAACTGCTCTCGTTTAATTCTCCGAGAGAAGCCTTTTTACCTTCCGTCAGCATGGCTGATGCTAACCTCCAGGAATGTTGCACTTTTTCGGACTAACGTTTTCTGCCGACATGAAGTGGAAAAATTATATTGAATTAACTGCTAGTTCTGGTGCTAAGAAAGTTGGTTCACTGTCTCGTGCTAAACAATTTTCCTCGCTCGAATCTATCTTATACATTTATAAGTCGACCATTTTCCCATGCATTCAATATTGTTGTCACGTATGACCTGCTGCCTCTGCTATATACATAAAATCCAAAGAATCTACAATGTTATTGGCCCTTACCTGGCATCTCGGCTTAACGTACCTTGCCTGTACCTCTTCTATAAATACTTTCAAGGTGGTTGTTCTGATGGACTTTCCTCTATGGTAGGTATTATGGTGGTTGTAGTAAGAAAGGTACGAATGAATGTGTTGTTTTGGTGTAAGGACTATTGTTTCGCACGATTGGGTCAGTGCTTGCGGCTAGCTAAGTTATATTTAAGACAGAAGAAGACCGTCCTTTCCCCAATCCCCTTTCCGGGCTTGTGCCACATTTCTGTATTGTACAGAATAAATATCACTTTCCTCTATGGTACCTAGACGTTATAAATTAAAGCGCAGTACTTGTTTGCCGGCAAGGTCTCATCATTTTACTAAAAGTAACCGTAAGTTCTATGCTTACAGTTTCTTCTCTCGCACTTTTCGCTTGTGGATACTCTCTTCCGGCTTCTTATCCTCCGGTCAACTTTAATCTTCAAAAATCTCAATGCAATGTCAAGCGTCTTCTTCTGTCTTCCTCATATATGCTCTTTGATAATGATTTTCTTTTTCTCATATTCTTTCAAACCCAGTAACGAACCCCTTGCGTCTTAATGGCTTTATTGCCTTGCTTGGGGTGAAATCATTAAACAAAAAAGTGCTTCAAAAATATTTGAAGACCCACTAGTGTTAT